CAGAACCTAGTTTATTTCCCCCCAGTTTTGAGCTGCGCTAAACCAAGCCGGAAGGTCTGTAGCCTCACGTACGCTTTGCCAAGAGAGCTGCAAGAGTCTGCGATGATCTGGCCAGTTTCCCAAAGCACGTCTGTGCTGTAAGTCTAGTGAAAAGGAGCATGCTATGGCTACTTGCACGGCACGGGTCCTGTCCGCGATTCTAGCCACGTGTCCCCAGAAACTCCAGTGCATTCGTGCAAGAACCCCCGCCCACATGTGAACATTCAGAATCTGAAGTATCATTTTGGAGGCTCGGCGTCTGGCCAGCCAATTATGCACAGGTGAACTGAAATCATCGTAGTCGAGCCCAGTCATCTGAACAACCATCTGTAACATGCATACGTTGGCCAACTTAAGGGTGGCTGTGACTGGCCTGACACATCCGGACATCCATCGCCACTTGGAGGTTATGAAACTAGTGAAGAGTCGGAATCGGTGGTGTAGCGGCGTGCAACTAGCTCGCAGGATACTATAAAAGCCCCAAAACGAGTTCATCGCCTTGGTTAACCTCTGAGCCAAGACTTGTTGCGAGGTGACTTGGAACGCTTGCAATACTCCAAGAAACATGAAGCTCGGCACGGTTCGCAAGGAACCCCCACCTGGTAGTCGAACCTCCCCACGCCCACTTGCCGGAGACGCAATACCGGCGCACTTGCAAAACGAGATGCTTAGCCCAATGGCCTTCAAGTGACTAATGACGGCATGCAACTTCAGCTCAGCCTCGCAGGAGGATGAAAGAAGCACCAAGTCATCCGCAAACAGAATGCAATGCAAAACCTGGTGACCCGCCCTGCACCAATGATGAGGAAAGAGCGAATGTCGGGATCAACTCACCCATCCACCAATCAAGGACCTTGGCGAAGAGTTCGGCGCTGTACGCCGACCCCTGCAGGATGCCTTGTTCCAAGTGTTGCGTCCACTGATCCCCGCACAAGCCTAGTTGCACCTGGGCATGCACTACGCAGAACATGAGGATGTACAACTCTTGACATGGTTCCAAGCTACACATGAACTTCGCAATGGCTGCGTGACTGAGAGAGTCAAATGCAGCCTGAAGCTTGACCACTACGAGAGGTTTGTTGAAGGCATTAGCCTCGTAAGTGAGTTGCTGCAGGGCTGCAGCCCCTTCTAGCGCTTGACACCCTTTAGACCCGCAAGGCTGTCCAGCTGCATTCGGAGGGAAGATCTCCCGCAGCCGGCACAACAGAATTTTGGTGAAAATTCTGCCAAAGCAGTCGCTGAGCACTATAGGCCGGAGGTTCCGGGGCATGCATGGCCTGGGAACCTTGGGAAGGAAAGTTATTCTATGGTGGAGCCACTCGCGAGGAACAGCAATGGATTCATCCAGTACTCCATTCATCATGTCCAAAACGTTCACTTTGAGTCCGCTCCGACAAACTGCTTGCATGAACTCATAAGTGATACCAGTTTCCCCGGCAGACTTACCATGTTTGGCTTCTGTAAGAGCCTGGTCTAGCTCCTGCTCACAAATGGGCGT